ACAAGTCGGCGCAGCAGTTCCATTGCCGCCTCACGTCGCTCCATTTATCCTGCAGCCTCGATAAAATCCATGCCATTGGTCAACGGAATCCGGGCCACACGGCTGGCGGTGGGCGTGAAGGTCGAGAGGCTCGATGGAAAATATTGCACATCACGGTTGCTCGTGGAGAGCTTGTAGTCCAGGCTTCGCATAAGCTCATCTTGGACTGCTTGAGTAACGTTCTCCACGGTGTCTTTCTACTATACGATCAGGCAAGTTCGAGATCGCTCCGCAGCTGGTCAAACGAGGGCTCCGATCCCATGGGCCGGCGGTCGCGCTGCCGCTCGACTGCTCTTGGGTTTGGGGCCTCAGCATGCTGGTCGCCATGTTGAGGCTAAAGGGTGTGGGTGTCTGCCGGGCCGGACGCACCCGCGCCTGGGCGGTGCTGCTGCGACCGGGTCGGGCGCGTCGGAGTCTGTTGTATCGATCCTGAAGCGCACTGGCTGTTTACGGCGCTGTCCACTCAGCGAGAAGTGCTGTTGGGCCCCCACCTCCTGCATTCCGTTCAATGTCCACTTCCTCCTCCACCTTCGCCCCATCCCAGGAAGTGTTCCGCTGCCCATAAAGCGCCCAGACCGTGCCGACCCGCGCTGCTCCTGCTCCTGCCACCGCTAGCCCTCCTGCAGCAGCCCCCACACTAGCCGCCACCGGTAGCACTGCCTCGCCTGCTGCAGCTGGCCAAGGTGCCTCCTCCCTCCGTGGCTGCCACAACTTCACCGCCCGACTGAAGCACTAGCGAAGCCCCGGACGTGTCTGGGGTGTACTGTTAGACCATCGTTCCTGGAAGCTTGTGCAGGGTTCATCCCGAAGTCACTCCGTATTGTCGTCGTTCCTCCATATAGTGCATTTAGCACAAGCCGCCAACCGCCCCGCTGTCCTGCGTGTCCCGAGCTGCCCTGCCCTTTCGGCAGGAGCATACCGCAGCAGTGGCGCCCTGCGATTCACGGCCTGCGTCAGCCGCAGCCGACCCACAGCGTCGCTGTATTCCTCGGCTTCCTGGCGGGTTCTTCGGTCATCGAGCCATTTGTTCAAGGCTCGGGCCTCCACAACCTCGATTCAAGTTGTAGGGTGGGTACTGCTTCCAGAAGCTCCTGAGCATCTGGGGCTCGTCCCGTCTCTCGATAGACATCATGGCTTGTGCAACGCTTTGTGTACTATACGCTCATGGTATTCGCCATCGGCAGCTGTTCGAATCGGTTCAACCGACTGAGCTGCCGCGCCATGCGCTCCTCTGCGGGCATCATTCTGACGGGCTGGGCTTTAAGCTCCGGCTTGGGCTTCAGCTGCTCAACCACTGCCGCCTGCGGCTCCGGCTCACGAGGTGGCCCAGGGTCGGCGGGTATGGTCTGTAGAGTCTTGGCTTGTTCTTGGATCCCGGTGGCCGCCCACGCCTCTTGGCTTCTGATTTGGCTTCGGGCTTGGTGGTGGGCTTCGTGGCCTGCGGGGGCACAGTAGCGGTAGCTTCGGGCTCGGCAGGTGGAGCAGCAGCAGAAGCTTCAAGACTCGCTCCAGCAGGCTCTGGTTCGGGCTCGGCATGTGCCGCGTTCCCGTTTGCTTCCGTAGGCTGCGCGGGCTCTCGCTCATCCGACATCAATCACTATTTTTCCTTCAAGCGGATATTTTTTTATGGCCGAGGAAATGGCGCCGCGTCATTTCCGTCATTTCCGTCATTTTTGTCATCGGCGCAAAAGCGAGCCGATTGCTGCGACTCTATGTTTTTCAGGTTGTTTGTTCACCTGTTTTTACAAAATATTTTTTTGGGTTTGTCATTTTTGTCATTTTTGTCATTTTTTTCACTCTGTTCCAAGTTCGGGATTTCCGACCTTGGAAGTTCGGGATTTCCGACATGACGGAAATGACTGAAACGACGGGCCACAATCGGGTGACAAAAATGAGGTGACGGGCCAATCGGGGTGACAAAAATGACGAAAATGACGGAACTGACGGAAATGACGGAAATGACGGAAATGACGGCCCACTGCCCTCAGTCCACTGCCAGCCCAGGCGCTCTTAGAGCCACTGCCTTCAGGTTTTTCACTGCCCAGAGACCCCTAGAGGCCCTTCACTGCCCCTTCACTGCCTTCAGTGCCTTCAGCCTGGGCTTCACTGGACGCTTAGAGGTCCTGCACTGCCTAGGCCCTGCACTGCCCAGGGACCCTTATTAGGACCCGCAGAGGCCACCTTTTAGAGGCCCTTCACGGCCCCTCAGAGGCCCTTCACTGCCCAGGCCCCTCAGAGGCCCTCTCTGCTCTCGGCCCAACGCCATGAGAGGCCCTTCACTGCCCTCAGCCCAACCCGTGGTCCATGTCAAAATTTCCACAAAAAATTGAGCTTGTCATTTCTGTCATTTCTGTCATTCTTGTCATTCTGTCATTCTTTGGGAGCTTTGACAATCAAGAGGGTGTGGTCTGCGCGGGCATGCACCGGAACTTTCACAGAAAAAAACTGGCTTTGTCATTTTTGTCATTTCTGTCATTTCTGTTGTCAAGAGGGTCTGCACGGGCATGCGCCGGAATGAGCCTTGTCACTTTTGTCATTGTTGTCATTGTTGTCCTTCTTGTCATTCTTTGCTTGGACTTACAATTGTTTGTCAAGAGGGCGTGGCGGCACGGACACACCGGAAAAAATTTCCTGGAAATGACGAAATGAAGGAAATGACGGAAATGACGGAAATGACGGAAATGACGGAAATAACGGAAATGACGGAAATGACGGAAATGACGGAAATGACGGAAATGACGGAATGACGAAAATGACGGAAATGACAGAAATGACGGAAATGACAGAAATGACGGAAATGACAGAAATGACGGAAATGACGGGAATGACAGACATGACAAAAATGACAGAAATGACAAACGGCCACAAGGGCTGAAGTCGCCGATATATGGTAGCGGGGGGCTTGCAGTGTCCCCCCACTCCGGCCGATGCACTCCAGGAGAGGATGGACGGCTTTGGACGGACTGTGTTTGCAGCCGATTTGAATGTTTTGAGTTTTGCACTAGCTGCAAGCACGGCCATCTGAACGTTTTGAGCTTCGCCTTCAGGTTTTTCATGTCATATGATTTCATTTTGCAGCCCAAGGGAAGGTTCATCTTGCGCGCGCAAGTCCGCGTGGATGGTGTCGAACCAGCCCACGGCCCAGCCCGCAACCCGCCCGCCCAAAAAGCTCAAAGCTGGCACTGGGCCCTGGAAGCAGTTAAGAAGCCGCACTGGGAAGACACAGGGAAGAGCCTGGAAGCAGTTCAGAGGCCCAAAAAACTCAAAAATTGCACTTACGGCCTGGAGGCTACGAGGCACAAAAAACTCAAAACTGGCACTGGGCGGCCCTGGAAGCCGTTAAGAGGCCCAAAAAACTCAAAAATGGCACTTACGGCCTGGAGGCTACGAGGCACAAAAAACTCAAAACTGGCACTGGGCGGCCCTGGAAGCAGTTAAGAGGCCCAAAAACTCAAAAATGGCACTGGGATGGCCCGGAAGCAGTTAAGAGGCCCAAGAAACTCAAAACTGCCAAGCTGGAAGACCCTTGAAGCCCTGAAAACTCTCCGTGCCTGACCCATTGTGTTGTGTGCCCCATTGCGCGCCCCTTTGTGTGCCCGATTGTGTGCCCCATTGCGCGCTCCATTAGATACAAGATTGTGTGCCCGATTGTGTGCCCCAATGTGTGCCGTGCCCCATTGTCCGATTGTGTGCCCCCGCCAGGCCCGCAAGGCAACGTCACGGCAACAACCCTTGGGGACCTCTCAGTGTAGGGCGAGGGCTTCAAGGGTCTGGGCGTTTTTGGCCCGCAAGGCAGCATCACGGTTTCTTGGGAACTCTTGGGGCCTCTCAGATGGGGCTAGGGCCGAGGGCTTGGGTTGAGAGGGTTTGACCCGCAAGGCAGCAACACAGGGCCTCTGGGAACTTTTGGGGACCTCTCAGATGTAGGGCTAGGGCTTGGGTTGGGCATTTATAGAGCGCACCACTGACCCGCAAGGCAGCAACACGGCCCCTGGGAACTCTTGGGGACCTCTCAGATGAAAGGCTAGGGTTTGGGTTTAGAGGGTTTGGTCTTGGGGTCTCAGATGGGGCTCGGGCCTATATTGCTGGAGCGCACCACGCCGCAATGCGCCGCAATTGGCGCCAGAATTGGCACCGCAATTGGCGCCGCAATTGGCGATGCAATTGGCGATGCAATTGGCGCCGCAATTGGCGCCGCAATTGGCGCCGCAATTGATGCAAGGCGCCGCAATTGTAAAGAAAGGGAACTTTTCAGGCAAGGTTTTGGGATTTCACTGAACTTTCAGCGCCCCGCAGGCCCACAAGGTCACCTCACACCAACTACGTTCCTTTTGGGGCCCTTATCCGCCGCGTTCAGGGTTTTAGGACTGGGATTTGACAGAACTTGGAGAGCCCAACAGGCCCGCAAGGCCACCTCACGGCACCTGTGTCCTCTTGGGGTCCCTTATCCTCCTTTTAAAGCTTTTGTGTTTGGGAGTGTCCCTCACCCACCGCCTCAAAGTTTTAGGCTGATGTCGACTTGCATGTCCAACGTGAAGTCGAAAACATCTAGAGCAAAAACCGAAAAAAGAGAAAAAAAAAAAAAAACGGCTGCATGTCGAATGTGAGCTTGTTCCCAGCACACACTCCAAGGATGTTCAACAAGCATGCCAACGCAAGCAAAATCACGCAGAATCGACTGCTATAAACTGCGCAAGTTGAGCTCTGTGCTGCGCCGAAGCTGTATGTCGAGGAGGGAACCTGGGCAACGGGGGGGAATTCGGGAAGTAACCGAGATCCATTGGAGGCTACCACTCATGCGCAAGACGGAACTAGTTCAGGGTTTTAAGGCGCGCGGATTACCAGCGGTGTCCTCCATGTCCGCAAGAAGAACGTGACAAAGAGCTGCTCACTGCCTCGGGCCTTTCTAAGTCGTCGTGCCTTCGCTCTGCAGTCCAGCACAGTGAAACAGTCAAACAATGTTAAAAAATGACAATATTCTGGGCCGCCACGAGCTGCAAAGCCCCGTTTTGCGGGCCCCCGTGCACAGGATGGGCCTTGGCCTCCAGCAGCAGTCTGACGGGCTCGGCGTGCCCATTCTGGGCCGCCACGAGCAGCGGGAAGGCCCCGTTTTGCGGGTTCACCTGCACAGGATCGGCCATGGCCTCCAGCAGCAGCCTCACGGGCTCGGCGTGTCCCTTCTGGGCCGCCACGAGCAGCGGGAAGGCCCCGTTTTGCACGTTCACCTGCACAGGATCGGCCATGGCCTCCAGCAGCAGCCTCACGGGCTCGGCGTGCCCATCCTGGGCCGCCATGAACAGCGGGAAGGCCCCGCTTTGCGGCTCCACCTGCATAGGATCGGCTTTGGCCTTCAGCAGCAGTCTGACGGGCTCGTCGTGCCCATTCTGGGCCGCCACGAGCAGCGGGAAGGCCTCGTTTTGCAGGTTCACCTGCACAGGACTGGACTTGGCCTCCAGCAGCAGCCTCACGGGGTCGGCGTGCCCATTCTGGGCCGCCACGAGCAGCGGGAAGGCCCCGTTTTGCACGTTCACCTGCACAGGACTGGACTTGGCCTCCAGCAGCAGCCTCACGGGGTCGGCGTGCCCATCCTGGGCCGCCATGAACAGCGGGAAGGCCCCGCTTTGCGGCTCCACCTGCATAGGATCGGCTTTGGCCACCAGCAGCAGCCTCCCAACCTCGGCGTGTCCCTTCTGGGCCGCCACGAGCAGCGGGAAGGCCCCGTTTGGCCCCTGCGCAGCATCGGCCTTGGCCCGGAGCAGCAGCTCCACGGCGGCCCCGTGGCCGTTCCGTGCTGCGTTTTTGAGTGCTGTGGCGATTTCCGTGGAGCTGTGCTTGGCCTCCACCAGCAGGACCTGCAGGGCCCGGGCCTGGCCGTAGAGCGCCAGGTCCTGCAGGAGCCCGGGCCCGGTCGGGCGACGCTGCAGCGGCTCCACGTCGCCCTGCACCGCCGCCGCGAAGATGGGATCGGCAGCCATTCTTCGGCGCAACTCGCTGTGCTCAAGAGCCAGGTGGGTAGCAGTCAGAGCGTCCACAGTCCGCTGGTATTGCTGCGGCAGGTTGGCGATGCGGAGCTCTTGCAGCTTGTGATTCTGGAAGATGAAACCCAAGCTGCTCTGTGTGTGAGAGAAGTTTGCGTCCACAAACTTCTGCAGAAAGCTTCCGTCGAAGGACAGACTCCGCAGAACTTTGGAATGGCCTGCGGCCCTGCAGAGCGACGCCCATCCGTCGCTTGACAATTCCATCAGGTCCTCGGCCACCTCCACCCTCTCCTGTCGCATCACGTCATTCAACAAGTTGGACGGTGCCAGGCCTTGTCCTCCTCGCAGCATAGCTTGCACGAAGCGCCACCGGCTGCCGCCAGTCTGCAAAGCTGCGAAAGTCGACAAGTTCGACACGCCTCTGCCAAGCTTTTGAGTGGATTCACGCGGTTTCCCCTTTCTAAGATGTTGCCCCCCTCACCGGAACCAAACAACAAAGCCAACAAAAACACACCACTTCGTCTGACGGCCTTCAAGGGTAGCAAGGGCACTCGTGGCGATGCTCAGTACCACCAAGACGATGCTGACTGATGAGACATCTGAGAATGGGGCCATCAGTCCAAACAGATTCTCCTGGCGCATCCAGATGTAGCTTTGCAATGCCACCTGACCGAGCAAAAGCTGCCGAGCCCGGTCAGAAATCAGACTGTCGAGTGTGGAGGGGCCCTACTGCTCTTTGTGCACTTCACGGTGTTGCTCCCCATCAACCGCAGGTTCCTTGAGGCGTTGTAATGATCTTGTTGCCGTATGGGCACTTCTGTGCTTTAACGCTTTCGACGCCACTGCGTGGCACTGAAACCCTGTCCTCAAACAGAAAGACATGGAAAGACTTCCAACCGTTCTTTCTGAGAACTATTCCTGCGAAGTAAAAGTCATATCGGTGTAAGCCGGAGCCTCGTTTTCCAGTTGTTTTGCGCAAACCCTCCCTGACTAAAGCATGTTGTTTCGAAGGTCTTGGCCACGGCCCGCCTGGAGGTTGGACTCCCAGGCCGCTTCCACCAGGGACCGCAGATTCCAGTAGTGGAACAGGGCGGGTGTCACCGGTTCCGAGAGCAGGTGCTGCAGCACGAAGCTCACATCCACCAGCAGGAAACCAGGAACCGCGAGAGCCGCAAAAACGATGCCTTCCAGGATTGGTCGATGCCGAAAGCGCTGGAGCATCGTGGTCAGACTGGGGTGCAGCGCACACAGAAGGCGCTGCAAACCTGATGGCCCCAGTATGGCCGGCAGCATGAGGTAGGGTAGCGTGACGATCAAACAGGTGGTGATTGCCAGCTCCTGGTGAAACTCCCACAGATGCTGTGCCACCAGCAAGTCTGAACCAATGTCCCACAGAAACGAAGCCCTACGCCGGGCTATGATGGCCATGATTACAGCTGGCCGCGACAGCCACGCTGCCTTGGTGTCATCCCAAACGGCGAAGACACGCTGCGCCCGGTCCTCCATGATTGACAGCGGGTCCATCTTCCAGCGGCGGACTGCTTCTTCTGTGTCCACCTGGAAGAACTCGGAGCCATGCACCTCCTGGTGCCTGGCAAAAAGGGACGGAACGATGGTGGGTCGGCTTAAAGGGCCCATTGGCACTACGGCAGGAGAGCTTCACATGCCAATCATTATCGCTGACCGCCCTTGAAGTGGAAGCACATGCTATCCTGCGGCCCGGACACACCCAGAACATCTAGGACTTCAAACATACCGACTCTCAGAGCACTTCTCTCAGCCCACACGCGGCGCATCTGTTGTACCGCCACCCTTTCAGCGCAGCAAAGAAGCCGCTTGTACAGTTGTTCCGGTAGTCTACATCTTGAGGGGCAGTCAAAAGGGAGAATTGCTGGCACCGTGGGATCAAAAGAATCTTGCCTGCAGCGCGTAACTTCTCCAAAATGGGCTGACATGGAGGCACAAAAGCCAAAGCAATGAAACTCGTGGACACAACTGAGGGTTGGCCAATGTGCAAACTGCTTTGAATTCTTATGGAGCACCTCCGCGGAGGCTTTGACCTTCTTTGATCTCTTGTTTTATCACGTCCACCTCTAACAGTGGGCCTGTCCGCTGCTCATCCACAGTGCTCATGCACGCTTTGGATCTGCCCTGAAACGGGTCCTACTGTACACGTTCAAGCCTAGTGCCCCAAACTTGACTGTTCAGACAGGTGATTCCAGCGCCAACGAACTCATTGCGCTTACTGATGTTCCAACAGTCGCCAGTGGGAATGTCGCTGGATTCCAGACTGCGGCGTCGGATATTCCAAGCTCCGAGTGTGGAGTTCCCTCTGTGAATGTCTTGCAATTACTGCGCAACATCGATTTCCGGACTTGCTTTACAAGTGTGTGTTCAGGTAAAAAGCACACCGAACGCAACTCAGAAATGCGGCATATTTCTGAAGAATCAAGGCACCCTTACTGACAAACTCGGACCTCCTCAGCCTCTGCCTTTTCCCCCTCCACCTACAACGAAACCGTGCGGCGCGCAAGTCGTGCCGCACGGCCCACATCCACCCCACAGGGCCCAAACGGCACGCGCACGCCCGGCATGCGCCTCAAATGCTTCAAGGAGCTGGCGAAGAGCCCAGCCACCACACCCAGCCCGGCAAGGGCCGCGCCAGCGAAAAGGGCGAAGGTCTTGAAGGCGGGCCAGTTGGCACCGTTGGCTTGTGAATGTTCCATCAGCACCTCAGCGCCGTTTTGAGCTGAAAAAGGCCGCCGGAAGGTCCTAATTGGATTTCTTTTCTAAGCGTTTGCGGGGTGCCTGCAGGCCTTTGCGGGTTCAGGTGGCCCTCAGTTTTTTGTCAATAGTTTGAATACGTTGATGAGGTGGTCCCCTGCGACAAGAAAAAGGACCGATTGACACTCGATTCTGCCGGAAAATAAATTCCTGTAAATTAGACTCATTCTTCACTGACACCCCACCTTAGTCGCCAGGATTGCACTGAAGATGGACAAGAAAAGGCCAACTCCCAGCAAGGCGTAGGACACCACAAAGACAATGACCGCCTTGAGGACTGGCATACAGCTAGGCACCGATGCGTTATCCTCCAAGCCCTCCAAGCCACTCTCCTCCCCGCTTTGCAGCGGGGTGTAGGCGACGCAGACCGTCCTGGGTGGCGCAGACCTCTCACTTGGGTCTTGCGGCGGCACCCAAGCAAAGCACCGCTGCTGTCGCCGGCCCCAGGCCAGCAGCAGCGCCAGCACAGTCAGGCAGCAAGCAGCTGCCAAAGCACAGCACGCCCCGAAGTGCACAAAGTCCAGATCTTCCGTCAGGATGCTCTTGGCATCTTGCCACAGGTCCTCCAGAAACTGCAGGCTGTGGTCTTTCATGTTGGACATTGCATCCATTGCTGCGAGCTGATATGTCAAACGAGTTTTCGCTGAAGCCCAAACAGCTCGCCGAGTGAACGGAATGTACGTGAAGAAGTGTGAGTCATGGGAGATCAGCCATATTACCCTCAGGGAATCATACTTTCTTTGGAGGAATTCTGCTTACATGTCGCCCGCATTGCTAGATTCATTCTTTGCCGACAGATGCAAAGCTCGTGTCATGATAAACATATAAGCAACTCCCACTTATTTGGCACAGCCCGTGTACCTCATGAGCAGATGTGCCTGCTCGAGTCGAGCTGTATTATTCTCTCAGCGCAAGGAAGCTGCACATAAACGCAAGCTGAAACATCTAGAGGAACCTGCAAATGGCCTGAGTACGGCAAGTGCAAGAAAATAGGCAGGGCGAAGGGCCCCTTCCCACCACCCAGCTTGACAGCGTGCGCCGGACAACACACAAGTTCCATGCCAAGCAAAATCACAAAAAATAAAAAGTTCAAAATTGACGACAATTGTGATTTCTGCAAACCTATGCATGATTTGACGTGAAAACAACGTTTGCAGCCACGAGAATGCATGGTTAATGCCTGTTAAAGATCCGCTTTCAGAGTTTGCCTGGAAAACATTTTTTCGTTTTGGCTGATCCGGCTGATCCTCAAGCGAAACAAATCAAATTTTAAGCGTCACCGTGCGACGCGCACGCACACACACACACACACACACACATGCTTGACGGCACAATCTGGGGCGAATGAGTGTTCTTGAACGAACCTTGGCTCAAAATTTGGGCACCAACTACCGAAATCCGAATCCCTTAATTGCAAAAAGTTGCGCGCCCAGGCTCCAGACGAGGTGCTCTACCAGGCCTGAGTCGAGCACGGAGGCGCAGCGAGTACCACCCGTTTCCTACGAATCCAGCACCCCCTTGCGATGATCGTAGGGGAGGTCCACGTAAGCGAGGTCCGCGAGCCTCCCCTCCTTGGCGGGAACGATATTGTCGAGAGGGCAAAGGGACCAGATCTCCAGCGCCTTCGAGTCTTCGAGGAGCGCGCGGACATGCTCTGCGTGCCCCGGCAGCTGGCCCAGCAGCCGCACCTTCTGCGTCTGGCGAAATGCCCCAATGTTGTTCTAGCTGAGTACAGTTGCGGTGTGCCGTAAATGCAGCACTGGGCTTGGCTTGGTGCGCTGAGCTGACTCTGAGGATCCATTGTATTGCGTGCCATTGTGTGTATTTGTCGGCAAATTTGCAAATGCAATCTGCAATCCTGCAATCTGCACTCCTGCAATCTGCAATCCTGCAATCTGCAATCAGCAATCCTGCAGTCTGCAATCCTGCAAGCTGTATCCTGCAATCTGCACTCGTTAGCGGCTCAGGCAGGGCGTTGAAAAACAGGGATGAATCTACGCATTATGGCAAACTCTTGACGTGTCTGTGTTTGCAACATGCATGAAAGAGCATTTTGGCCAGATTGCCAGATTGCCAAATTGCCAGAAGATCGCTAGATTGCCAGAATTGCAGATTGCGAATTGCAGATTGCACATCCCCTCTCTAGAGGCGAGTCTTCGGTCTCTCTCTGGGTTGTGTCCCGATTGTGTGAGCTACAAGCCTTGTTTCGAGACATGCTAGAGAATCTCGCACTTCGAAGCGCTGTCGAAAAAGCGGCCTGAGGCCCGTAGCTCCAGCAATTTTCGGGGCTCTTAAGCGCTTGCAAACTGTGTGTAAACGGGCTTACGGGCAAACAGCTCTGGAGCGTGCCGGCTCACTGCCTAACAGTTCCGAAATGCACCGGCTCTGCTGCCTATATAGTTCTCGAACTGTTGCGCGCCGATAAGCTCGCGCACGCAAGCGTGCGTCGTTCCTCAGACAGCTCCGAAAACAGTTCGTTCCAGCTTCGAAGCACGACTGCTCGCTTCCTAACAGCTTGCGAACAAGCTTCCGAACAGCTTCCGAAACAAGCTTCCGAACAGCTTCCCGAACCGCTTCCGATGCAAGCTTCCGACGCAAGCATCCGATGCAAGCTTCCGATTAGCTGCCGAACCGCTTCCAACCCAAGCTTCCGAAATGCTTCCGACGCAAGCTTCAACTTCCGACGCAAGCTCCAAAACCATCCCTTGCAACTCTGCATAGGTAGGAGCCCCCCCAACCGCTTCTTGTTGCCAGAGGATCGAGGTCCACTATTCGAGTACGAGACCAAAAAATGCATCAGAGTGCAGTTTCGACCCTCGCAGCAGCACATCTGTGACCCGATGACAGGCCCGAAAATTTGCTTGTGATCGGAATCGCATCACATGCAGTTCTGGCTGCGGACCTGTGAAGTTCCACAAGAACCCAGCCCCAGCTCCAACCTCCTGCAGGAAGCCTTGGTTTTCAGCCAAAATTACACAACCGTGGGCTGGTTCGACACCATCCACGCGGACTTGCGCGCGCAAGATGAACCTTCCCTTGGGCTGCAAAATGAAATCATATGACATGTAAAACCTGAAGGCGAAGCTCAAAACGTTCAGATGGCCGTGCTTGCAGCTAGTGCAAAACTCAAAACATTCAAATCGGCTGCAAACACAGTCCGTCCAAAGCCGTCCATCCTCTCCTGGAGTGCATCGGCAGGAGTGGGGGGACACTGCAAGCCCCCCGCTACCATATATCGGCGACTTCAGCCCTTGTGGCCGTTTGTCATTTCTGTCATTTTTGTCATGTCTGTCATTCCCGTCATTTCCGTCATTTCTGTCATTTCCGTCATTTCTGTCATTTCCGTCATTTCTGTCATTTCCGTCATTTTCGTCATTCCGTCATTTCCGTCATTTCCGTCATTTCCGTCATTTCCGTCATTTCCGTTATTTCCGTCATTTCCGTCATTTCCGTCATTTCCGTCATTTCCTTCATTTCGTCATTTCCAGGAAATTTTTTCCGGTGTGTCCGTGCCGCCACGCCCTCTTGACAAACAATTGTAAGTCCAAGCAAAGAATGACAAGAAGGACAACAATGACAACAATGACAAAAGTGACAAGGCTCATTCCGGCGCATGCCCGTGCAGACCCTCTTGACAACAGAAATGACAGAAATGACAAAAATGACAAAGCCAGTTTTTTTCTGTGAAAGTTCCGGTGCATGCCCGCGCAGACCACACCCTCTTGATTGTCAAAGCTCCCAAAGAATGACAGAATGACAAGAATGACAGAAATGACAGAAATGACAAGCTCAATTTTTTGTGGAAATTTTGACATGGACCACGGGTTGGGCTGAGGGCAGTGAAGGGCCTCTCATGGCGTTGGGCCGAGAGCAGAGAGGGCCTCTGAGGGGCCTGGGCAGTGAAGGGCCTCTGAGGGGCCGTGAAGGGCCTCTAAAAGGTGGCCTCTGCGGGTCCTAATAAGGGTCCCTGGGCAGTGCAGGGCCTAGGCAGTGCAGGACCTCTAAGCGTCCAGTGAAGCCCAGGCTGAAGGCACTGAAGGCAGTGAAGGGGCAGTGAAGGGCCTCTAGGGGTCTCTGGGCAGTGAAAAACCTGAAGGCAGTGGCTCTAAGAGCGCCTGGGCTGGCAGTGGACTGAGGGCAGTGGGCCGTCATTTCCGTCATTTCCGTCATTTCCGTCAGTTCCGTCATTTTCGTCATTTTTGTCACCCCGATTGGCCCGTCACCTCATTTTTGTCACCCGATTGTGGCCCGTCGTTTCAGTCATTTCCGTCATGTCGGAAATCCCGAACTTCCAAGGTCGGAAATCCCGAACTTGGAACAGAGTGAAAAAAATGACAAAAATGACAAAAATGACAAACCCAAAAAAATATTTTGTAAAAACAGGTGAACAAACAACCTGAAAAACATAGAGTCGCAGCAATCGGCTCGCTTTTGCGCCGATGACAAAAATGACGGAAATGACGGAAATGACGCGGCGCCATTTCCTCGGCCATAAAAAAATATCCGCTTGAAGGAAAAATAGTGATTGATGTCGGATGAGCGAGAGCCCGCGCAGCCTACGGAAGCAAACGGGAACGCGGCACATGCCGAGCCCGAACCAGAGCCTGCTGGAGCGAGTCTTGAAGCTTCTGCTGCTGCTCCACCTGCCGAGCCCGAAGCTACCGCTACTGTGCCCCCGCAGGCCACGAAGCCCACCACCAAGCCCGAAGCCAAATCAGAAGCCAAGAGGCGTGGGCGGCCACCGGGATCCAAGAACAAGCCAAGACTCTACAGACCATACCCGCCGACCCTGGGCCACCTCGTGAGCCGGAGCCGCAGGCGGCAGTGGTTGAGCAGCTGAAGCCCAAGCCGGAGCTTAAAGCCCAGCCCGTCAGAATGATGCCCGCAGAGGAGCGCATGGCGCGGCAGCTCAGTCGGTTGAACCGATTCGAACAGCTGCCGATGGCGAATACCATGAGCGTATAGTACACAAAGCGTTGCACAAGCCATGATGTCTATCGAGAGACGGGACGAGCCCCAGATGCTCAGGAGCTTCTGGAAGCAGTACCCACCCTACAACTTGAATCGAGGTTGTGGAGGCCCGAGCCTTGAACAAATGGCTCGATGACCGAAGAACCCGCCAGGAAGCCGAGGAATACAGCGACGCTGTGGGTCGGCTGCGGCTGACGCAGGCCGTGAATCGCAGGGCGCCACTGCTGCGGTATGCTCCTGCCGAAAGGGCAGGGCAGCTCGGGACACGCAGGACAGCGGGGCGGTTGGCGGCTTGTGCTAAATGCACTATATGGAGGAACGACGACAATACGGAGTGACTTCGGGATGAACCCTGCACAAGCTTCCAGGAACGATGGTCTAACAGTACACCCCAGACACGTCCGGGGCTTCGCTAGTGCTTCAGTCGGGCGGTGAAGTTGTGGCAGCCACGGAGGGAGGAGGCACCTTGGCCAGCTGCAGCAGGCGAGGCAGTGCTACCGGTGGCGGCTAGTGTGGGGGCTGCTGCAGGAGGGCTAGCGGTGGCAGGAGCAGGAGCAGCGCGGGTCGGCACGGTCTGGGCGCTTTATGGGCAGCGGAACACTTCCTGGGATGGGGCGAAGGTGGAGGAGGAAGTGGACAT